ATCATGTTGTGGAAGCCATTAAATGTCGTGGTAATAGTTTCAAACTCTGTAAGACTAATCGAAAACTCTATCATTAGGTTGAGTAGTCATAAGTATATAATAAGTAAAATACTGTATCTGTCAGGCAATACACTGAGTGGGCCAGGAGGCTGAGAACTTAAAAGTAGCACTCTCATTCATCCATTCTTTCTCATTTAGGGCATAGCCACGTATTGCAGTGACATTGTATCTGTGTTAGAAGACATTTTTGTTCTGGGTTTAACCAAGCCAATTCTCACAGAAGCTAGGTGGGTTTGTATTGCTATTCTAATTCTGTTTTTGATTGCTGACAATTAATGTATATACGCTAAGTGGTTTTATACGTCACTCATTTCTTGCACAGTTTTTGCAGATTTGCATTTGCACATGCGTTAGTTAGCTGGGTACTCTGCGCAAATCTTACATGGCTTCAACCAGAGTAGCAGCTGGTACTTCCCTCTTGCCTGAGACCTATGGTCTTTTCTCAAAGTCTTTCAGGTTGTTGGTGGGAATTCAGTTACTTTTGCTTTTAGAAATCATGGTTTACTTCTAGAAATCATGGTTACTTTTACTTCTAGAAATCAGGAAGAAGAAACCTTCTTCCTCAAGACTATAAAAAAAAAAATCTCTAATACTTCAAATCTCTCCTTTTATTAAGAGCTTCTGCCTGTTTAAATTGAGTCTGCCCAGAAAACCATTCTTTTGATTCACTCAAACTGATTTGAGGCCTTAATTGCATTCTTCAAATTCATTTGTCTGTAGAACATACTTATAAGTACAAAATCCATCATATGACAATTTCACCTACACCAAGGGCACATTCATAAGTAAGTTATGTACACCAGGGGCAGAAGTCTTAGGAATTGTTTCATAATTCTGCCTACCACAGCCTTATTAAACATCCCTACAAAAAATTGATTTAGACTGAATAAAGACTCCCTGAAGACATCTCCATGTTTATCCCCAGAGTGTTTAAATGTTATATTATATGGCAAAACATGCAGCTGTGATTAGATCAACTACTTTGTAACAGAGAAGTTATATAGGCTGTCATAGTGAGCTTTAAATGCAGCTAAGTGAGTCATTATAAAAGGAGGCAGTGGAGACCGGATCATACCGAAGAGAAGGCAATTTAACCACACAATCAGAGACTGTAGTGATGTAGTCATAAACAAGGGATGCTGGCAGCCACCTGAAGCCAGAAAAAGCAAAGAAAAGATTTTCCTTGAAGCCATGGAGGAAGAGCACAGCTCTGGCAATACCATGATTTCAGCCCAGACACTGATTTTGGATTTCTGGTCAGCAGAATTGTGAATTTATAAACCAATAAGTTCATGCAATATTTTTACTACCACAACAAGAAACTAATACAACTAGTACTAACAGTGGAATAAAGATAATAAAATCAATGTGATAACAAGTAAGCTCCATGAGAGGAGTTAGATCTTTCATGTTTATAACCAGTTTTTTGTCAGAATGTTATAAATAAAGATGATGACACGAGCAGGTCTGGTGGGCTGGGAATGTAGCTCACTGTTAGAGTGCCTGCCTGGTATGAGTAAGATCCCGGGTTCAATACTTTGCACCAGAAAACAGAAATAGATCTGGTGAAACAAATCACGATTAAACAATCATCACTGCAAATAAATAAATATCAAGAGGACTATCTGATAGCGCAACTGTTAAACTCATCTAAGTGTTAACACTCATCTAAGTGTAGTTCTTGTCTCCATAATAAAATAGAGCTACCATGATTAGTAAAACCTTTTCAAGAAGTGTTTATTTTTATCTCGATTATAACTTTCTAAAGGTTCCTTGTAGAATGCTTGCAATGTAAGATATACAACAACTTTGTGGTCCATGCATATAAATAAATAATTAGGTGCATATTTGAGTGAATGCATATTTTATTTATGTACTGTTAGGATTGTGTAAGCTAAAATGATTGAATATTATAGCCATAAAAAAGCCTAAGAAGCTAGAGGAGGCTTGGAATCATTAGCTTGTCATGATACAATTTATATTTCAGAAACAACATGTGTAATATTAGCAAGGAAAATAAGTGGAAAAGAGAAGCCTGAAACCAGTTGAGAATTCTTTGAGGTAGACTAGTCCCACCCACGAGGTCACTAAGATTGCATTTTAGATGAAGGTAGCACAGCCATGCTGTTAACATGGTATCAGCAATATACCAAATTGCCAACTGAGTGGCAGTCCCTTTGACTTTGTATCAATACTCAAAATATTTCTCTGGTGCATGTGCGACACTGCTCCTATTTTACAAAATGATGTATATGATAGATTCCAATGGTTTACTGTTGCTATTATTCAGTTCAATAGCAATTATTGTTATTCAACAAATACTGGGAGTTTAGTATTCCATCAGGGTGTGAAGAGAAAATTAAGTTATAGTAAGTGACCTTTCTTAGGCTGTACAATTTCTAGATACTGAACTGTTACTACACTCAGGCCTGTGTTAAACCTATATCAGGAGGCCTATAGAAAGAGGAGAACATGAGATATAATTGTTCTACTGCTTAAAAAATTGATCTACCCATTGTCTGGAGGAAGTTGATAGGAAGAAAGTCCTCCCAAAGGAAACAACAGATCCCCAATAAACTGTAAGAGGTTCTCACTGGAGCTCCAAAACTCTTCTGAAAGCAAGAGCACTATTTCAAGGTCCTTTTCAAGTCCTGGAATTATGCTTTGACTTCTACTAATGAGCCAGCAAGAGAAAGAAAACTATCACATTCAAAAACAGCAGCTTTCTGTACAACTGTTCTCAACCACAGCTAATTTGATTTCTAATTACATGATTAGAAGCTAACCTGATTAGCTCTGTCTGGAATAAGAAATTCAAGCAGAACTTTGCTAAAGAAGGGGAACTTACTGTTAGATAAAGCATTCCAAAATAGTGTCATAAGTATTCCTAAAGTTGAAAATGACCTTGAATGTTTATTTTGTTCATCCTCCTTCAAGGTATAACTAAATAAAGGTGACTTCAATCCAATATTCTACATCTGAACTGTTCACGTATAATGAAATACAAAAAAAAAAAAATTGAAAATTTCAATGCTATGCACGAAGTCTACAAAAAGAAAAGCTGAATTTCCTTGGAAAGTCTTCTTTATTCTTTAAAAAGTTTAATAGTGTTTGCAGTTAGAAAGAAGCAATGCTGAATTCCTTTCCTCTTTATTAAGCTTCACTTTTATTCCTTCGTTTTCTTTTAAAGCAAATCACTGCTTCAGTTTTCTTCTAGTTTCAGTTTCAGACGACGCTAAGTAAAGCGTAAGCCTCAAATTATAACTATCAAATTAAGACCATTAATTACCTGTGTGCACTCAATCTAGACAACATGGAGAATATATACAATTACTGGGATAATTTTAAGCCAGTAAAAATATTTTGCAGCCCATGTGAGCCCTCTTCCTGACATTTTGATTTGTATTTGGAAAGAATGGTCCAGCTTTGTCGGAATCCTCTTGAATGTTTCCACAATAAAAACAGAATTTAGTTTCCAATGACCCTGTAATACCAAGGCCAAGTCGCCTGACCCTTGATCAATATTACCTTTCTTCTTAAATGGCAAATAGGTAAAATATCCTTAAATCTGTGATTTTTTTTTACTACTATATATATTTTTTACTGATTGATGTAGTTTGTTTTTAAAATTATTTTGTTTTACATTTATTTTACTCCTATACCTCCTTAACAACTGAGTATCCTAACCCCAGGATCTACTAATATGTTGTGTGTTCTTGATTCAAAAACCAAAACCCTTCAGAACTAATAATACCAGCAACAATAGTAAATGCTCCAATTAGTTAATTAAGTGTGTACTATATGCCAGTCACTGTACAATTATGTTTTAAATTCACTGATTCAGTTAAATAGTGTTACAACCCCGTAGGGTAGGATCTATTTCACACAGGAAGAAACTGAGACTTGGGCTAAGGTATCTGGGTTCTTAATAAGCAGCTCCCCAAATGGGATTAACTGTGCAATAATTTTATTGTGTAGAAGAAGATAGGGAAGGATTTAAGTAGGCTGGGCCTGGAGGGGGAAGGGTGGAGCAGATCACAGTGCAACTCTGCGAAACAAGGAACAAACCAGGGAAAGAAACCTGGGTAAGAACATCCTCTCGACTGCCTTCCCCTTAAGGAAGTTTGGGCAAAATTATCCAGAGTCCATGAGCTCCCACCACTGAGGAAAGAATTTCTTAACTACACTGTATAGATCAGACCAGTAAATTCTCTTGTATGCTTCACACTCCTTTATCAGACAGGGCAGATCAGCCCAGGGAGGGCCTGATCTCACTTCCAAGAAAAATAATAGATTTCAAAGGCAGCAGTTTGACCAGTCAGTGGTACTCCCTGTAGTTCCCAGAGCTGAAGTTCAGCCTCTGATAAACCTGATTCCAGATAACGGTCCATTCCAGGGAGGAAATAAAACAATAATGCCTCAAAGGCTGTGGCTTTCTAAATCAAATATGAAAATATCCTTCATGAGATATTGGGAAATTTTTGTTTGTTTGTTTGTTTTCCAGTACTGGGAATCTAACTCATGACCTTGCGCTTGCCAGGCTGGTGCTGTGCTGCTGAGCTAAATCCCCAGCCCTGGGAAGTATTCCAGTGTGGGAGATGCATGTCTGCTTTCCTCCATGCCCTGCCCTGCCCCACCCACCAATTCTTCAATGTCCCATTGTCCCACAGCTTGCTCCACTAGGTCACCCCCTTAAAATATTAATGAATCCGTTGCCTATTGGGTTCCAAGCCCAAAATCAGTGACTTTAACATCAGTCCTTTATTACTGCAGTTCTCATACTCTTGAGTTGATGAGGCAGACCTGAGTAAAATGATTGAGGCTAGACTCACTTTTTTTTTTCCTGGTACCGGGAATCGAACTCATGACCTTGCACTTGCCAGGCAGGCACTGTGCCACTGAGCTAAATCCCTAGCCCCTAGACTCACTTTTATACCTACAGTTCAGAGCGGGGCTTCACTGTAGCATAGGCTTGGCTGGGAGACAAGGAGACTAGGCAGCAGAGCTGCATTCCAGATATCTCTCAACTTCCTTCTTTATCCCAGAAAGAACTCAAGCATGTCCTTCCCATGGTGATGACCGATACACAAGTGTCTGAAGAGGAAACAGACAATGCCTCCACTTAGAACTGGAACATTGTCCTTCAGACTTATACTACTAGCCAAGGCAAATCACATGGTCAAACATATGCAAATGAAGGGTGAGGGAGCCACACTATATTCTTCTACTGTGAAAGACTGTTAGGCACCCAGCAAAGGATGTAGCTTCAGAAAAAATTAAAACTTGAGGCTATTGATGATAAATACCACAAGTGGGGATCTTAGCTTATTATGATCTTTGATCTACCTAAAAGCAAGTTGTAGAATATATATTGACAAGCTTTAAACAGACATTTTGCTTGACTATGAGGTAATGCCTTTCATTTTAATGGAAGAAACAGATAAGCAAGTATGTTATTTCTGCCTTCTAGTCTAACTCCTGCTTCTCCATGATCTTAAGTATTCACAGGACTATTCCTGTGCTATAGTTTTTCCTCATTGCTTCCTAGACAATATCTTTCATTCCCATGATTTTTTTTTTTATTTTTTGTCTTTTTGAGACATAGTCTCCCTATGCAGTTCAGGCTGGCATTGAGCTCACTTTGTAGCTCAGACTGGTCTCAAACTCACAACAATCCTCCTGCTTCAGCCTACCGAGTGCTGGAATTACAGGTGTGTGCCACCATGCCCAGCTTCCCATGGTTTTTAAATAAAACTCTGTGTGTGTGTGTGTGTGTGTGTGTGTGAGAGAGAGAGAGAGAGAGAGAGAGAGAAAGAGAGAGAGATGGAGAGAGAGAGAGAGATGGAGAGAGAGAGAGAGAGATGGAGAGAGAGAGAGAAAGAGAGAGACAGAGAGAGACAGAGAGAGATGGAGAGAGAGAGAGAGATTGGGTTAATAATATCCCTTAGTTATTGCAGACTGGTTAGGTCCGCAGTCTCCTGAATGAGTGTATAGCAAAGGAAAATAAAAAGAGGGAAATGGAACAATTTCAGGGCTCCAGGAGGATCAAAGCCCTCTCACAGAATTCAAGATTCTCTCAGGGATAAGACCAAGACCTTCTCTGGGTGATCTGTATTTATTTGGTTATCATAAGAAGGGAGGGCAGTACTCAAGAAGGGTGAAACCACTCAAGGACTTCTCCAAGTAAGGCATCAAGTTAATCCTTAATAAGGTATTAAGTTAACCCACCCAGGAGTGAGATGCCTGAGGCTAGAGCCTTTAGCTAGTTGAGATCAGATCCAGGTGTCCCTGCTGTGATCTTGTCTTATCCTTTGAGGCTTTCTAATTTGATCCACCATGACAGGCCTCAGTAGGAATTAGTGACTCACACAGGTTCATGTACTGTGAGTGTGCCACCCATTTCCAGACGAGAATTGTAGGCCTTGGACAGATTCACAAGGGAACGTGAAAGGCCAATTGATTAATTACGTCCTGCTCAGGGCTGCTTTGTAGTGGGCTCCATCATGTGTGTGTATGTGTATGTAGTGTGTGTGTGTATGTCTTTGGACAGGCTTCATTCTGTACTAGCTCCCCTACACTTGGTCCCTATGTTCCAGACACATTGGCCTTTTTTCCCTCTCCCAATCAGGTCATCCTAACCCTGGGCATTTATTCACTTAAATCTATAAGGTTAGTGCCTCAGCTTACAGAGTTCTCAGTTCAATTGTCCCCTTCTCCCAGAAGTCAACTCTTAACCGTGCAAACTGGAGGAGGATCTTTACCAACAAGTCAAATTCATATTGCTTCTTTCTGTTATCTACTCAGCGCTTCTTTCTATTAAAACTGTGCTATTTATTTTTATTGTTTTTTGACTGTCTCCTCTATCAAGAAAACATTCCCATGAGAGCAAGAACTTTGCCTATCTGTTCACAACGAAATGCTAATATTTGTAATAAAGTAACTGACACAAAGTAGGCAGTAAGAAGTATTTGTTGAGTGATAATTTTCTGATGGCTTATCACAGACTTCTCTTTGGAGTGCTACACTGTTATGTGGATTTCCAACTTGATGGTTATGCGGTGTATAGCTCTGACTTCCCATATGTAGACACGATACCAGACACCCAAGATTTAAAGGAGAGGTTTAATTTGCCTCCCAGGTTTAGTACACAGTTGGTAGAGCCCAAGGTGGAAATATCATGGTGAAGGGCATACCCAAGAAAAGATGCTCTGTTCATGTTTGCAGGAAGCAGAACAGGAGAACAGTGCCAGAGTAGAAGGAGCGAGGGACCAGTAGAGACACCTCATGCCACACCACTAAGACTCAGCTAGACACACCTAGAAGTGTGCTTCATAAATCCCCAAGCAGAGCCCAAAGCCAATCGAGTTGAAACTCGACCCTAAGTGCGACGCATGGGCACCTCAAACTCAACATTGGAAACGCTGAATTTTTTCTCTTTTCTTTCTGAGCCAGTCTTTAGTCCAGGGCTCGCTATTGCTGTCAGTAACAGTCCTTCCACCCAAGTGCTCTCAGAAGAAAGCTGTTCATGTTTCTCTACTTCTGTCTGAGGCTTCATCTCAAAATTATTAATAAGTTGTATAGATTCTATCCTCAAGCATATTTCTCAGAACCATCTACACTTATCCATACCTACTTTGGCCATCTCCATTCCCCTGCAATAATTTTCTGTCTGGTTTTCCTGCCAATCCAGCCATGACACATAACAGCCTTGAGAACTTGAATACATTTCCTGACTTCACAGTGCCTAGGTTTCAGCATCTCTCAATTGGATTAACCTCTTAAGGTGAATGCACTAAGCTAAATTGTGACTTCCAAGATATACGTCTCTCTAGGGCCCTCAAATGTGATCTTATTTAAAAATAGGGTCTTTTGGGGCTGGGGATTTAGCTCAGCGGCAATATACCTGCCTGGCAAGCGCGAGGTTGTGAGTTCGATTCCTGGTACCGGAAGAAAACCAGAACAAAAAAAAATAGAGTCTTTCTAGATGGAATAAGTTTAAATGAAGTAATACTGGCTTAGAGAAGGCCCTAATCCAATGCCTGATGGCTTTATAAGAAGAAAGAAATTTGGATGTAGAGATGGGAGGTGAGAGGAGAAAAGATAAGGCACAGAGAACTCCATTTGCAAACGAAGGCTGAGCTTGGAGTGATGAGCCTACAGGCCAACACACCAAAGATTACTTGAAGCTAGAAAAAAGCAAGGAAGCTAGAAGAAGGCAATGCCCCCCATCCAGAGTCTTCAGAGGTATAGCATGGCCTCTGAAGCTAACATATTTTTATGAGGACTAAACAAGACAAACTATGTAAAAGATTTACAGTTGTGCCAATAGCAAACATAACAAGTAGTCTTCTAGTTTTCATTATCATTGTGAATCTAGATTAAAACTCTTAAATTTCAAGTATATCCAGGATATAGCCCAGTCCTTCAGACTAGAAAGGACCCTCTGCCCTATGTGGTATGGTACCCTCCTCCTCTGCCTTCTGCTACTTCCATCCCACCTGAGAATGCTCATCTGTATTTCCACTCACACTGTGGGCCCTAACAGGGCTGCCACAATTGTCCTGATTTCTGCATTTACCCTAGTGCCTGGCATAGCAGTCAGCACTACCTTAATAGATACTATTCCAGAAAAAAATTTGTAAGATTATTTAAGTATAATAAAACATATGATGAGAACATACAATCATAATTCATGAGAGATAAAATGGACAAGCTAGCAGGTCACTTATGACAAACTAAGGGACATGTTACAGGAAGGAAAGCCACCAAAGTGCTTTCACTTCAAGCCTGTCTTTTGTTACATGAATGAGTAACCAAAAGCCCAGGAGGCCAAGCCTCCACCCAAAGCTGATCAGTTTACAGGGTAAACCAGGACTGTAATTCTTTTTCTTTTTCTTCACCGAAGGGTCTTTCCATAGCATTATGCCACTTACGCTAAAGAAAGATGGAGCTATAATCTTTTAAAAAGAATGAAAAACACTGTCAGCACATGCCTATAATCTCAGCACTCTGGGAGGCTGAGACGAGAGGACCTCAAGTTTGAGCTTTGCTCCGGCAACCTAGTGAGACTGTCTCAAAATAAAAACAAAAGAGGTTTGGGGATGTAGCTCAGTAGGAAGGCTCTGGGTTCGATTCCTAGTACCATGCACAGAAAAGAAAAAGAGAGAGAACTGGAGAAGAAAAAGAGGGATGGGAAGCAAAGGAAAGAAGGAGGTCAGGAAGGAAGCACTTAAAGAAATGAATCTGGGAAAATACTGTAGGAGTCACAGAGGACAAATATGAGACAGCGAGATGAGAGCATTTACAAAAGATTCCAGGATTGCTAAAGAGTGATTCAAACCGATAGGAAGAAACTCACATTCCTCAAGCGCAGTGAAAGAATGTGTAACTGACGGAGGAGAGACCGAATTCCTCAAGTGCAGCAAGTGTGTGATCTGGGAGGAAAAGAAAAATTTCCTGAATTGAGACACACCACAGAGAGAACACAGTTTATAGAAACCCTGTTATGTACGAATATCCACCTGAGCAGCATGCCCGCCTCTTTGCCCTTAGAAGCTCTTGCTTAAAACTCTGTATCGCTTCTAATGTTTTTTTGTTTTTATTTTTTTTATCCTCTTTTGCACATTTATTCTCTTTAATGCATTCTTACATCTGGTAATCTGAGCAACTTCATTGAAGACAACAGTATATAATATAACAACCACTGTTAATTCCTATAATTTTGTTCTGAAGCCCTGTATCATTTTTATTGTTTTTGCTTTGTTTTGTTTTTGTCTGTGTTGTTGATATTTTGCTATTGCTCTTCTTTTCATTAATGTCTTTAAAATAAAAGAACTAAGAAATAAAAGCTCTTGCCAAGCCCCTGTCTCTCTGGTAGCCGTCAAAGGGGTCAAGACAACAAGAGCCGGGAACTGAAAATGCAGCTTAATTCGGGTGATGGTAGAAGCGCTGTAAGTGTCTGGCAGTGATGGACACGTGTAGGTAGATTTCTTTACCCTTTAAGTCCTCAAACTGCAGCATTAGCATGAAGATTAGGTTAACTATTCTTTAGTCTTTGAATTCTGCTTATGTTTTTCATACTCTTT